TTTCAAACCCAAATTCAAATCCTCAGGACAGACAATGGGGGTGAGTATTTTAAAATTGTTCTTGGGAAATTTCTTCAAAGTGAGGGAATTGTTCATCAAAGCAGTTGTGTAGATACCCCCCAACAAAATGGGTTGGCTGAACGGAAAAATAAGCACCTACTTGAAGTTGCTAGGTCTTTAATGTTCACCACAAATGTGCCTAAAACTTTATGGGGAGAAGCTATACTCACTGCATCATTTCTCATCAATAGAATGCCCACTTGAGTTCCAGGGTTCAAGACTCACTCCTCTAGAAGCATTTCAAAGTGTCTATCCAACAAATCGTCTGATTTCATATTTACCACTTAGGATATTTGGGTGCACCTCATTTGTCCATATCCATTCCCATAGCAGGGGTAAATTTGATCCAAGGGCCATCAAATGTGTTTTCTTGGGCTACTCACCAACAAAAAAGGGGTATAAGTGCTTTGATCCAAAGACTAGGAAAATGTTTGTTAGTATGGATGTTTCCTTCTTTGAGAATTAGCCCTACTTTACCAAAAACTCACTTCAGGGGGGGAGTGAAAACATAAGAGAGTTTTTGGAATTTTTGGGATACTCTTCCTACCTCTGTGAGCCCTGAGCCCTCTCACCTCAGTGCCCAAAAATCCTCAACCTATTTCCATTCCTCCACCAGATCACTCTATTTCATTTCCTCAGGAACTACCCACTGCTGTGCCACCCAAGTCCACTCCACTCACTAAAAAAACTGGAAAAGAGGTCCAAAGTCCAGAATTATTTGTCTATGAGAGACGGAAAAGAAAGGGAAATGAAGGAATTCACACACCAAAGCAGAACCAGTCATTGGATCCACCAGATCTTGACACTTCAAGTCTGAACCCTCCCGCGGATCATGTCCCCTAAAGTCTAGGTAATTCTACACCAGTTCAGGACTTAGATATTCCCATTGCCCTAAGAAAAGGAAAAAGGGCATGTACTTCTCATCCCATTTCAGACTACATGTGCTATAGTAATTTGTCTCCATCCTATCGAGCCTTTGCCACTGATCTGTCCAATGTAGTGATTCCTAAGTCAGTTCAAGAGGCATTGAGTGTTCTAGAATGGAGAGTAGCTGTTATGGAGGAGATCAAAGCACTAGAGAAAAATGGAACTTGGGAGTGTGTAGCAATACCGAAGGGAAAGAAAACAGTTGGGGTGCAAATGGGTGTTTACGGTGAAGTATAATTCGGATGGTTCTATTGAAAGATTTAAGGCTCGCTTGGTCGCAAAAGGATTCACACAATCCTACGGAATAGACTATCAAGAAACCTTTGCCCCGGTAGCGAAACTCAACACTATTCGAGTTCTTCTCTCTGTTGCTGCAAACTTAGACTGGAAAATTTCCCAACTTGACATCAAAAATGCATTCCTAAATGGGGACTTGGCAGAAGAAGCATTTATGGATGTTCCTCCAGGTTTTGAAGACGTTTATGGTATAGATCATGTGTGCAAACTGAAAAAATCCCTCTATGGATTAAAACAGTCTCCAAGAGCTGGTTTGATCGTTTTTCAAAAACGGTGAAGAGATATGGATACACTCAAGCTCACACTAATCATACTTTGTTCTTCAGGAAATCTCAAGATGGGAAAATTTCAGTTCTAATTGTGTACGTTGATGATATCCTTCTTCCTGGAGATGACACAACCG